GGCAGGGATCTGGCCCTGGTGGATCTGTCCACATTTGGAGTCGATGTGGCTCTGCAATATTTCCTTGGCCTGGGCAAACAAGTGTGGCATGGGGGTGGGCATTTGGGCTACCATGGGTGAGAATAGGACACCAGCCTCATTGTCGTCTAGGGTTGCAAGCGGGGGCATGCTCACCCTGGGTAGGGCTGTGCTGCTCCAGGACAGGGTCTGCTGGTCAGTGGAGGAAAGGAGCAACTGGATGGACTGCTGAATCTTTGGGGGCAGGCCCCAGCGATGGTGAATCAACTGCTTCTGGAGATGGAATTCCAGCAGCCTGCGGGCATGCTCTGGGAAGAAGAGCAGTTCCCTGGTGAGGACTGAGAAAGACTTTCCTGGACAGGAGGTCTTCATGGTCTCAGGGGGTTGGATTTTGTTACATGATTCATACTGCTTGGGACCTGGAGCATGCTGAAATCTCTGGAAGACTGCTGGCAGGCCCCACTGAAGCTGGAGTTGCCTCTGCAGCAAGTGCCATTCCAAGGCTTTACACTCAGCAGTAGTCAGAAATGGGACACTGACTTGATTCTTAGAGGGAGACATGGAATTTGGGGAGGTTGGGGGTGAGGCTGGGGGTGAGGCTGGGAGTGAGGCTAGGGGTGAGGCTGGGGCTGACTCAGGTGGAGTATTGGACAGCAGGGGATGGAGCTCATTGAAGAGAAGAGGACCATTCAAGAGGGACTTGGGCACATTCTTGTTCCTGGAGAGACTTTTAGAGTCCAAGAAAGTAGCAATCAGGGACTCACTGTGCAGAGTAGGGAGGCCACAGAAGAGCTGGTTGTATTTCTGCTGCAAATTGCACTGTGAGTCATTATCCTGTTCCCCATGAAGTGAATAGAGGTCATTTAGTACATTAAGGGCAGGAGAAGGTAGGGTTAGTACGTTATAGTTTTGAATTTGCTGACAGTGGCGTCTTTGTTCTGGATTTACATCAGACCATTCAGAAACCCAGATAGACTGAATGGGCTGTCCGGCCACAAATGAACCCCATGTCTGGTGGGAAATGGTTTTAATTTTGTCAATAATAACCTGAGAAGTCATGGAGGAAACCTGTGGGTTTTTTTCAGATCGGTAAAACAATGTTGGGTCTGGCATAAGCTGCCTGAGGGAGTCTTCGACACGCCTGGGGAGCCCCCACCTCTGGAAATGCATCCATTTTTTTACATGTACCTCAAGAAACCTCAGAGTTTTAGGACTGAGTAAAGGCAGGTGAGCGGGGAGAACTGACTCCATTCCTAAGGCCATAGGATGGGCCAGGTTAGTGATCTTTGAATTCGGTGATACTAAAGAAACCTTGGGCTTCAAGTGGTGATGAACTTGGTCCTCCCGGTCAAGGTAAGTGTCGTTCTGCATAATCTCCTGTTCATTCACTGTAACTATAGATTCCTCAAGCCTTGAAGAAGCCATAGTCTCTGGGCCCACTGGCCTATCTGCCAGTTGAAATTCTTGCTCTAACTTGAGGTGATCGGCCCAGTATTCTTGGATTTTGATGCYATCATTTTTTGGGGAAACTGTCTGGGTTAAGCATTTGTGTTCTATTAGTTGGCTTAGTGTTGGAGTTACAGATGCCACTGAAGAATCTCTGGAGTGCTGGGAATGGAGCTCCAGATTCTGCTCAAAAGACATACTTGACATGGACAACACCTCTAGGCAAGAAGAGCCCCATGATGATCCCAGTAAAGTGGAGGGGATCTGGTTATTCTCACCCTCCAGCAATTGGTCAATCTCCAGAGCCACACCATTGCAGGTTTGGCAGTAGGGATCTGCACACAGAAGCTGCCGCACACTTTCCTTCTGGGGAAGCCATCCCTGGCTGGGAAGGAAAACATGGCAACCGTTAAGGATGGAGTGACATCTGCCTCTTTGCAAAAGTGTGGCTGGGGATTGCTACCCCATCCCTGAGTCCTACAAGAGCTGGGCCTATACTGTGGAAAATGAGGTCCTTATGGGAACTCATCATTCTGAGAACTATGGGATGCTATACCCTGCTGCTATACCCAGAATCTTTTGATATTATTCTCTTGAAATTTTAAGGAGAAAATAAGATGATAGGTTCCTGTATGAGGGATCCCRGGAACTGTCTTCCCTGAAGACAGACCAGAGGAGGTAATGTCAGCAGGGTCCAGTAAGACCCAGGAGTCGCCCTTGAAAGGGTATAAATGTAAGAGAGTAAGACAATGATGACTTCATTATTCATTCTCTTGATGGGATAATTTGTGTCATGGCTGAGTGCAATCCCATGTCGTGCCTTTTATGAATTATGCACTAGTCAAATCCTGAGTTGTACAACTGCTGTGACCCTAGCACAGAGAAAAATTAGGTGACTGCCTCTTCCCTCCTGAGATATCTGGACTCTTTACTGCCATAGCAACTTTCTCAACCAATAAACTAGTCCCAACCATGCATGTCTCCTAACCAGCCATTATCCCTCTCCTCATCCCTGCCCCAGGCCTAGCTAAGAACTCATAGGGCAGATGGGGGGTTGAAAGACTGCAAAGAGCAAGAGATCACCTTTTCATGAAAGAGAGCAGCTCCTGAGGCTCCTCAGCTTCCTCTTGGGAAGGTCTCCTAACTGAGGAATCAGGACACAGTGTTATATGGTATAGGATTGTTTCAGGGGCCTCCCATAGGAAGCTCAATTTTAAGACCTTTGACTCAGCAAGAGGAAACTAAAAACTCAAGGTCAGTGCTCCAAGATATGTTTATGTACAGAATCACCATTTACAACATGATATCCCTTACCTAATGTCATATGATATTCACAATCACAATGTGAGAGGGGATCATCAGCCTATTTAATGGATAAGACTGAGATAATTATAATTATAATTCCTATAAGGTCATAAAACTAATAAATGACAGTTAAGGACATTTGCCTTACTTCTTCAATTATTTATTCTCAGGGTCATAAGGTAGTGAATTTTCGAACATTCCCATGTTCAGATTTCCCACCCATGGAAGTCCTCTGTGAAAGTCATCAATTTGGGGGAAATTGGAGCCTTCAGAGATTAGAACACCTGGATCCTGGCACCAGGGGTACAGCGACAGATACTATATAGGAAGCTAGCCCACAGTGGGAGTCAAATGAGAGTTTGGGACTTTACCTCTTGACGCTGCATCTTTATTCCTTTGCCTGACTTTTCGATGATGCTTGAAGACAAAAAACATGAGAATGTGAGACTAGGATGCCATTTTCTTTTTCATGCCCAAAATGAGACAAAAACTCATATTTCCCATTCCCTTTCTCCATAGCTGTCTGCATTTTATAAACTTTCCTACATTTCCTTTACCATACTCCACCTTTTTCCACCCCAACATTTCCCTTTTCTGCTTCACCCTTCTGATTCACTTCAAGATTCTGCATTCTTCATCCTCCTGTCCTCCTGACAAGTTCTACAGAGAGCTTGGGATGACACAGGAAGAAAAGGGGAATGGATTAAAGGGTGAGCATTTCTAATGACCCAAGGACTTCTGCTTTACAAAACTCACCAACCAGAAAAATCCCCCATATTGGGAAGTCTTGAGATCTAGTGGGGTAGACTTTATAGCATCTATTTCTCAACTCAAGCCAAATAGGGAGGGTCTTGAGGCTTTTCATKGCATTGGAGGGAGAGCTGGTGAGGAATTAAATAGATTCTCAGAACAAAAGCAATATACAAAGGTAACTGAAAGTATGGTATAAAAATGGGGTGGGGGGAGATTTAATATGGAGAAACACTGAAAACTTGAAAGCTTATCTGAGGCTTAAACTAGCTCAATTGTGGTGACAGTGTTTCCCTACCCGGCAGCAGCTCCTTGTAGGTTTGCGCTTCAATCCATAGTAACTCCGTCTWATCTGCCAGATAATTAGGATAAGGATGAAAAGAGAACCATAGGTATATAAGGGATATCCAGTGTCCCACAGAACAGATGTAAGGCTCAACATGGCCTAAGCTTCATTAGCATGAGGAGACCAACCATCTCCACAACTAGGCATTCAGGGGTCTAGTGCCAAATGACTCCTAGTGCTTGACCCTTGTCATGTCCACCTCACAGAGGACAGAACCAGGCTGCAGACTGCATCACAAAGCCCTCCTGTTTCACAAGGGAGGCTCATGTGGTGGTTCAGTCTGTAGGAGAAGGTGTCTGCTCCTCTGTGAAGGTTGCAGAGCCTGCGTCTAGAGGTGCCACACGCACATGTCTATTTCCCACTTTCTCTTCATTCTCCATTTCCCACAACAGGCTGCTGGCTCKGCTCACTCCTTTTACAACAACTGTTTGGTCACCTGTCCTCAGAAAACTGAGTGCTTTTGTGACACAGGGCAGGGCAGGAAGAGTGGAGGAAGTGTGGCTGGGATGGAGGAACTTGACCAACTCCCCACTTTCCTGGAAATATAATTGAGAAGTGCACAAGAGTTTAGGGATGTCAGCGAGTGGTTATGGCTTGCAAATGGAGAGCTTTGATATTTCTGGCAATGGGTGACAAGAAATCAGAAGTGCAAGGAGAGGAGACCATGGCTGATGAAAGGCAGGGTTGGCTGTATCTTTAAATGACATTGTGGGAGGAAGGAAGGGAGGCCCTTGGGTGTATGTGTGTGTGTGTGTGTGTGTGTGTGTGTGTGTGTATAGGGTGGGGGGATTGTAAACATCGCCTTCCATGCAGACACATTAATGTGGCTTGCTTCTGGAACTCTGTCCATGGCTGGGTGTTCTAGAGCTGTTTTTGCCCAGGTTATAGCATCCTCCCTGCTCAGGGAGATGAAAGCCTGCAGAGATGGATGGGTTAATGGCCACTTCCATCTATGTGTCACAACCTGCTTGCTGATCATGGTTGAATGTATTGTTTGCCTGGAGTCCATAACTGATTTTGGAATCTTTAAGGGAGGACAAGTGTCTTCCATTCAGCCCCAGGTCCTATCACTCCTATGCCCTATTTATTTAGACATTTGTATTACCTTCTTGGCCTCTGTGGATAGTGTAATATGCCTCTAATAACCCAGCACTTCTGAATTTTATTGAGAGGTTTGCCTTAATGACAGTGATCCAAGCCAGGAAAATCCTTAGGCTCAAAATCTTTGCAGAAGCTAATTTGTCTTTTTGTCTTTCCCCACAGCATCCAGCTCACCCAGCACACATGGTGAGCTTTCAGTATGTTCAACCCTACATTGGGCAGTGTCAAGGGTACAAAGACATTTGAGTTGTGTAGTTGTGTTCTCCCTGCCTGGTCTCAAGAGACTCACACATACATTTTCAAAAATATGATTAATTCATATAAAGCAAGAGTCAACAATTATTTTAGGATAAGTAGATTTAAACTCATTTGTGGGGCTCCAGTCACAAACATCATATTTTGGAAGACAGAAATCCTAACAATAATCACGATCATTGCAATAGGCTGTTGGGTCACTGGAAAATCATAATGATGATCATGGTCTTTAGAGAGAGCTATTGGGTAGTTGGAGTTGGGTTTAAAAGTGCAAATTGTGGAGTAAAGGACTGTTCATGGTGGGAGAGAAACTTACCAACAAATATAGAAACTAAGGAATGATCCATAGAGTTCATTTGGAGGTAAGAAATGCAGTCCCTCTCTAGAAGAGGTGCAGCTATGTACATGGGAGAACAAATGTGGAGAAAGACTGAAAGAGCAGGAATGAGGCCTTTTGAAGGAGGGCCTAGACATTTATTTTATGCAGTCACTAAGATCAATTTTTTTTAAAGTAGGCATACACATACACAGTAAAAATTCCAGAATTAATTTAGCCTAGGAAGCATGAGTAAATTGATATATTTTTCTTCATACCTGGAAACATACCATAGACATTGTTTTTCCCTTTTTTTGTTTTTTGTTTAGCAACATGAACACATTTTCTTTTTAAACTTTCTTTATTGCCTACATAGTGTTCTTTGGTGGAACAAAACACAATTTATCTTTAATTTTGTGTTCTTGGATATTTCATTACTTGAAATCTTTTGTTCAACAAAATAATGCTGACACGAACCTCATGTATAGAAGAAGTCTTGTCACAGCAGTGAGTACAGATGTAGGAGAAATTCCTAAGGGTTGAATTGACAGATCAAAGGGTGTGTGTATTTTCAATGCTGATATTGCCTATTGTCCACCAGTTGTACAAATTTTCACTCCCACCAAAAATTGTATAGAGATGGCTCTTGTACCATACTTGTCCACTAAATATTACCAAAATTTTTYATCTTTGACAATTTAGAAGTAAAAAATTGTATTTTATACATTTATAAATTTGTTTTGAGGTAGGCACATCACCTTTTAGTGTATTTTCTTTTCTGTGAAATATCTGTTCCTATCCTTTGCCCACAGGTATTAGACAGGTATTTATTATTGGGAAAAAAATCACATTGATTTATAAATGCTTTTCAATATTAAGAAAACTAGCTCTTTATGTATTACATTTTTTGTCCTCAGTTTGTCTTTTGATGTATATGATGAGTTCTTATCTTTGTTGTTTTTTTTTTTTGTTGTTTTGTTTTTGTTTTGGTGGTGCTGGGGATTGAACCCAGGGCCTTGTGCATGTGAGACAAGCACTCTACCAACTGAGCCATATTCCCAGCCTTTATGATGAGTTTTTGTAATGCAGAAAATTTTGCATTTTATGTAGTTTAATTTGTTAGTTTTCTGAGTTTCAAGTCACATTTAGAAAGATTTTTTTTCCTTCTCTGAAGTTATAAAAAAAGTTCTAATTCTTTATATACTCATAGTTTAATTTTTAAATGTTTATACCTTTGCCCATTTAAACTTTATTTTTGAGTCATGAGTGAGGTTGTTAGCTGTATTGGTTAAGAATTGTGTTCAAGGGGCTGGGGATGTGGCTCAAGTGGTGGTGTGCTCGCCTAGCATGCGTGAGGCACTGGGTTCAATTCTCAGCACCACATAAATGTAAAATAAAGATATTGTGTCCACCTAAAACTAAAAAATAAATACTAAAAAAAATAAAATAAAACTAAAAAATAAATACTGTGTTCAAAAACATGGAACAGGGGCTGGGGCTGGGGCTCAGCGGTAGAGCACTCGCCCAGCAYGTGCAAGGCCCTGGGTTTGATCCTCAGCACCACATAAAAAAATTAAATATTTAAATAAATAAACAAATAAAATAAATATATTTTTAAAAAAATGAGACAGAAATTTATCTACCAAACAGTTTCTCAGAAGCTTCTGGATTTCCCTTAGGACAAAAGAAGTCTGGAAATAGCATTGCTTTCACTCTTCTAACAACAACACAAAAAACACAGGATATTCTGCAAATTTACAATTTTTCTTAAATTAAACTTAATCCAAGAAAAGACAGATTTCTTCCAAGGAAAACATGGTACAGGTGCATTTGCTTATTTGGGGATGACTCTCTTCCTACCACCATCAAGCTGGTAAGAATTCAGCTAAAGTATTTTAAAAATTTTTATTGGGGCTGCAATTGTGGCTCAGTGATAGAGTGCTTGCCTAACATGTGTGAGGTACTGGGTTTGATCTTCAGCACCAAATAAAAATAAACAAATAAGCCAGGAGCAGTGGTGCATGCCTGTAATCCCAGCAGCTCAGGAGGCTGAGGCAGGAAGATTGCAAGTTCAAAGCCAGCCTCAGCAATGGCGAGGTGCTGAACAACTCAGTGAAACCCTGTCTCTAAATAAAATACAAAATGGGGCTGGGGATGTGATTCAGTGGTTGAATGCCCTGGATTTCAATCCCTGGTACTCCAAACAAACAGACAAAAAATAGGTAAAATAAAGATATTGTGTCCATGTATAACTAAAAAATTTAAAATAAATTTAATTGTACATATTTATAGGGTCCAGTAGACTATTTCAAGACATGTGCACATGTGCTGATCAAATCAAGTACTTAATGTTTGTATCTCCTTATCATTGTTTTGTCTTTGGAGACTCTGCATTCCTGTCTTCTACTTATTGATAAAATAGGTAACAGTTTTAATGAATTGCTAAAGACCAAGTATAGGCCAGCATGAGAGTACAGAAAATTGGGACCCAATACTCCATGGGGAATTCAGACTCACTTCCAGGCTCTTTTCCAYAGACTTTAATGCTCTACTGTATGTTCATAAGAAGTACTGTGAGCAGTGGGTGAATCTTGAGAAGTCTCCCTTGTGGAATAGGCTTGGAGAAAAACACCAAGCCCTTCTCTGATCCTCTCCCTATTTTCCCTGTGGGAACAAATCCTTAAGTTGCTGAGTTAAAGGTCAATAAATCCTAACATGAGACATTAAGTTATGAATTGGTGAAGACCCATTGCAGTCAGAGAAAGGGAAAAAAAAAAACCCAATAACAACAACAAAACACTTCTATCCTTGTGAGCCCCAGACAATTAGAAGTCTTCCATCTGACGGTGGGGTAGGATCAGAGAAAGGCTCTACTCCTGAGACCCAAGGTCACAGTGTTGGTCTAAAACTAATAATGAATCAGAAAAGCAGAGAACAACCCCTTTACCACAACCATCACCACTACCAGCCTGGCTAATAAGCAATAAATAAAAACAGCAATCTACTGCTGAATGGTCATGAAGAATATAAAGACATTTCAACGGGCCAAGGAGAACATGTAAACCAAGGGTAGAAYGGACACTGAGAAAACCTCTGGCAAACTAGCCTCAAACGTAAATACAAGGCGATGTTAGAGAGAGCTGGAGTCTATAGTGCACMGACAGTAATAGAATAAGAACAAAACCCAAACATGGCTCAGTTCCTGACGAGGCTGGATCGGTCTCCCACACTAAYGGTCCAGCAGAAAGAAAAGGGTGACCATTTCCAGGCATGCAAACAACCTAGCTCAGTCTCTGCAGTCTTATAATAGATGTTCGTCTTTCAACAACATAGTATTATGAAGCAACCTTCCTGATCAGATGGGCAATCTCAACAGAAAATGGAAACTTGAAGAAAGAATCAAATTGAAATTCTGGAAGTAGAA